GCGGACACCTTCCTGATACAGTTGCTTCAATAAATTGTTGCACGACACTCCTCTTTATTTTCTCTCTGCTTCTAAGTCAATTTCCTCTTCAATATCAGTCATGTCGTTGTCCTCTTCTTCATCATATACCTCCTGAGATGTTTGGCCTTCTTCACATTCCAATACACACGCTTCTTCCTCATTATCTTCATTTTCCTCATCTTCATTTTCCTTACTTTTGAATTTGTTGGCTAGTAAATAATTATTAGCCATAAGTACTCCATTACATGGTTTAACTTATCTAAGGGGTCGCTCTAGATCTTCTTCATCTTTCTTCCCACGATCAAATTTTGATCTCCTAGAAGAACTTTCTAGTAACTCTTCCATTAATTCGCCTATACCAGCCTCTGTATGATCTTTGAGAATATTTTTGTTAGCCACCTCAAGCAATTTAGGTGCCTTAGGACATGATGGTCCCTGCTGTTGCCTCGTCATTTGTCTATAGTTTCGTTGAAAACGCCTTTGTTGAGTTCTAGTCATTTCATTGAAGGGTACAACCCTTCCTACATTATACTGGAATGAATGTCATACATTTGGTTGGCGAGGTTGCGGCCTGAACGTTCTCCCATTGTTTATTGATCTGAACTGTCTCTCAAAAGGCGATTCCCCATAGAATGACATACTCCGTCCTCCAGCTGACTGGAAATTTAAGACAACATCAGGACGATAGTGATATACCTCAAAAGACCAGAAAGATATGAACGTAACACTTCTCCCTTGCATCTAGCACACAAGATGTATTTGTCTTCTCTGGTCTCATTTCCTTTGATACGTTCAAAAACACTGGGATGTGACTCAGAAACTTCTTCTCCATCATCTACGACCAACTTGTATCTTGGTAACTTATTTTTTAAACCAGTTGTCACCATTTTACTCCAAGAGATTGTGGGAAATAATTTTTCATCCACTGCCATTTGCTTCTTAGCTTCGAATGTGATTTGCCTTGACTCGATAGCATCCTGTAACACATAACGAAAGACCAAGCAATTATTAGTCATATGTGAACATGCATTGTGTCATTTGCAATATTTTTTACCCTTAATTTGTTCAAGGTCTGGCAATTTATGTTTTTCACTCAATTTTATTTGCTTATCCTTATACAATTTATCGAATATAGGGTCAGCCTTGGTCACATCAAATGAGAATATCCTAACCTTTCTGTTTTCATTTTTTACAGGCTCATCTTTACCCGATGTTCTAAATATGGCCATTATAGTACAAGCATATGCATCTCCCTTAATCAATTCGGTTAAACACACTTCTGTCTGATCATAATATTTGTCATTAACATCATAAACATCGAAGTTTGGGTCTTTACAATAAATCCCTTTGCTAGAGTTTTTCATTTGTTCTTCTTCTCTTATGAAACGTTCCTATCTAATCACGTTAGCACTCAATTGAAAAAGATCAGGAAATTCTCTGTCTTGGAATTTCTTTTTTAAATCAAAACTCAAGCAACTTTGAGCGATTTTGACGAA